CCCTAAGCGGTGCACCTCCAAATCTCCACCAAGTATTTTCCCCAAAACAAAGAAGCACACTTCACAGATTCTGGTCATCAGATGCATGATTATTTAATGGGAAAGGAGAGAAACAGAATTTAATTCAATGAGAAACAGCTGAGGGAGAACGCTCAATTGACTGTCATTCCGGGTGTGTGTGTGTGATGGTGGGGATACAGCTGAAAGATGGGGGTGAACAAACGCCCTGGAAGTCGATGAGGAATTCACCACAAACAGGCAGCGACCTACAGGAAAGAAAAAAGTTTTCAGATGCAGGATTTTTCGTGAACATGGATTATATTAATAATAAGATTTATGAAGCAGAATGTATGTCCCTCAGGCGGAATCATTTCCATCTGTGCTCAGTGTAGGATTTGGGGGACATATATCTATCTATGTATATATATGTAATTAGGTCAGAATGGACTTGACGGCACATGGTCAATATTCGTAAAGCTATCGGTCACTCCTGCTTTCGGATCCACTTCATGGTTGGTCTGCCTCTTTTCCTGCGGATTCTGGCCCCCTGGTCTCCCCGTGATCTGCCTTTCCCCCTCTCTTTTCCAGTACACTTTCCATTATTAAAATGAAATGAAAAGCCTTTGTAAACGATGAAGGGGGCTGCATAAACACAAAAGCTTATCTGTTTACCCTCAAGGAAGCGACCTCACGAACATCATTAGTACCTTTCCAAGGAGAGAATTCCTCATTTCTTGCAGCAAGAAACTTTACTTGACCCACAGTGCCCGATGCGTCTTGCTCCATGTGGACAACTCATGGGGTGGCAGTAGCCGCCAGCCTTGTGACATTGGGTAAGGGTAGTTGGCCCACCAGCAAGCGCTAGAACAGAAAAGAGACAAAAACAGTTTTTCCATGATCAGGACCCACTGTTGCTACCATCCTGACTTGCTCTGATACCAAACTCAAGGGGCGAGTGCCAGCTGGATCGTGCCAAGCCTGAGATGGCAACTCAGACGCGGTGTACGAGAGCCATCTTGTCTTGCCTGAAAGGGACCACCCACCAGTCCGTTGCTTTTCCAGAGGGGAGGAGTGGCTCCAATTCGATTCTAGTTAGGCAAAAAGCATACCTTTGATACGGGACTTGCTTACCATACTGAGTAGCACCCCTCAAGGATAATATCTCGGAATATTTCCCAACTTCCAGCAATTGACTTCCAAAAGTGACCCTGTTTGTCTAGCAGGATTTCATCAAGGAATTCCAATTGCAAAGGGAGGGAGACCTTCCTGGGAGCAAGAGCTGCTCTGCAGTCGAACGGGTTATCTTGGAAACTGATGGAAACTTTGGGAGCAGAGGCGGGATGGGCATCTCTCAGGGGCCTCCAGCTAGGGGTACCTCTGACTTAGATTCCCTCTGGGACTCCTTCTGACTCTAATGTTTTTTGATGCTGAGCAAAATGAGTCCATAGAGAAAGAGGGACTGACGTAGGGAGGAATTCAAGATAGGGAAAAGCAGGGGAATCCGTAAGGAGCAGAAAGGTGAGTCCCTGCAAGACGAGATGCCTCCACCAGAATTGGGCCTCCCTAACAAGGAACGGGATGTCCACCTGACCATCCTGCTCATTCTAGGGGATGCGAAGAGCCAAAAATGCCCACTGAGTCGGAGTTTAGGTTCCACCACACACTACATTAAAGATGTCATGCACAGTTAAGATGAGATGAAATTACATTAAATTATTTTCATTCTAAAAGACCCTCCTCCCCACTTCATGAAGATATTTTGAGGGGGGAAATTGCTCCCCTGGTGTTTAACATTTTCACCCATGAACACGAACACCTGGAAGGAAGCAAAGCAAAATAAAGTAAAATAAAAAGGGACCCATGAACCCTATTCCAAGACACCACCCAGTTTTCAGCAGAGATCTTACCCGGAGCAGCCATCAGGACAAAGAAGAGAACAGCTGAGAGGATGGCCAAGAGCTTCATGGCTGAAAGGTAGGATGGGATGTCTCAGGAGGTGGTAAGACAAGGAGGTGACCCAAAGGTCCTAATATTTATACCTTGGAGAAGCAGACATCGCAACAGGATGTGGACATCTTGGCAGCTTTCAACATGGGTTTCCTGCAACATGTGGGCAACCTTAATTATCATGCAAATCAGCCCTAGATAGTTTGGGAAGGATATGTGAGCCAATGGGAAGTCAAACAGGACATCGTGTTTGGAAGAGTAACACCTGACAAGGAAGGAGATGGACGCCCTCCCACCTTTCCCGGACCTTCCTCCTTCTTTGTTACTGGAAGAGGCTGGAAACCAATGAAACAACTTCTCAAGAGTTCGGTTGACTATGGGTTCACTAAGAGTGAAGCCATCAGACTTGCTCCATTCCACACAGCAATGCCATTCAAAGAAACAGGAGTGCTTCAAAATGAGCAGTGACATTTCTTTGCTGTAATGTCTTATAATGATCGAAGAAAATATCTTAATCGTATATAATAAACACATTTTCATGTTGTTCGTTCCTGGTGTCTACTATCATTTAGAAGAAGACCAGAGGCACTGTTTCCAGAGGTGTGTATAAGCTAATTACCAATGGTGATATTTCCCAATTGTGGTGCTGGAGGAGACTCTTGAGAGTCCCCTGGACTGCACGGAGAACTAACCTATCAATTCTAAAGGAAATCATCCCTGAGTGCTCACTGGAAGGACAGATCCTGAAGCTGAGGCTCCAATACTTTGGCCATCTCATGAGAAGAGAAGACTCCCTGGAAAAGACCCTGATGTTGGGAAAGTGTGAAGGCAAGAGAAGACTGGGACGTCAGAGGACGAGGTGGATGAACAGTGTCATCGAAGTGACCGACAAGAATTTGATCCAACTCCGGGAGGCAATGGAAGACAGGAGGGCCTGGCGTGCTCTGGTCCATGGGGTCACAAAGAGTCGGGCATGACTAAACGACTAAACGAATGATATTTCCCTGGAGACAAAAAAGCAAAAAAGTGGCTGTCTCCAGATATCAGTTAATGGTTCCCCAGTCCTTTGTACTGGGTATTCTGCTACTTAGGTGTGAGATGAAAACAGTGTATCAGCCAGTTATTCCAAGATGAATTTTGTGAGATGAAAAGGAACCTTATTTCATTGGTTTTATTGATTTGTTAATTTAATTTCTGTCCGGCCCTTCTACCTGTATGGATGTGGCACTGAAGTGAGCCAAACTGCCAAACTGCATTCACACCCATCTCTATTTGTCGTAGCACACCATTTCCCTCATACAAGTGTCTTGTATTTAATTCCCACTTCACGGTTCTATGATTCTAAGAAAAGAGAAATAATTCTGTGCATATTTTTCCAAAAAGGAGCCTCCAAAATGAAATAAAAAATGTGCCACCAAGCCACTCAGGGCAGTGGCACCAGGCGGGCTGTTGTCAGTGTGACTCTCCCTGAACTCCAGTCTGTCAGAACAGCCTGAGATTGTTCTTATTGCATCAGAGGAGTGGGTCATGAAGCATGGACTGGAGCCAGCTTCCCCCCATTTCCCCAGTCCACTTGGGGCCTGACTGGGGTCTTCAAGAGAGTTTCAAGCCAACTTCCACCTGTGAGGGAGGGCTAGTGGTTGCAAATATCCCATTGTGGACATTGATCCTGCTCCCCTTTCATCCGTCCCCAGAAAGCTCAGGGCCACACCCTCCAGAAAGGCCACTGCTAACCACGGTTAATGACTCGTGACAATGGGTGGGGAAGGAGTGCTCAAGTGGCATGTTCACTCCCGCCCTCCCCCCACTCCGTCCTTTGTCCATGGAAGGAACCTGTTCAGGCCAGGGGGAAGTGAAACCACTGTGGAGAATATCTCAGGAGTCTCCTACTAAATCTCCCCAGACCGAAGAAGCCATTTGGATGAGGAGCAAAATGTTTCAACCTAAGAAGAAAGAAGTCCAGTTGCCAGTTGACTCAACTTCCAGATTGATAAAATTCAATTATGTTTGAATATTCGAATGCATAAGAACTCAGGAAAACAGGCAGAAGAGGGACTGAAAATCCCACGTCCAAGGAATGTTCAAGCCTTCGATGTAACCAGAATGCCATTGCGAAGGGCAAACACTGCGACAATACCTGCACAAAGAGAAAAAACATTTCAGATTCATTTTTTTAAAAATGGCCCCGTCAGTCCCCAACCATAAACAAGGACCTGTTCCTCAGATCCTTTGTTTCAGTTCCATTTGGAAATGCAAGAATACAAGGATTGCTGTGCTCTGTGGTTTTTTCAATTTCTTGTTAGAACTGTTTTGATTTGCGGTTCTTTAAAATTATAATTATTCAATTCTTTTTAACATGTTCTACTTCCTGTTTCAAATTTTTAAATGTTTTCCGTTAAAGGATATAAGCTGCCTTGGGCCCTTTGAAGAAGAAAGGCAGATAAAAACGAACAAACTAATGAACAAACTAATGAATAAACAAACAAACAAACCAAACCAAACAAACAGAGATGCAAAACCTGGACAGTAAATAATGCTAAAAGAAGGCACATTGTTTCATTCGAGATGATGGGTTTGGGAAGAGTTTCACAGACAGCAGGGACTGCCAGAAAGATAAAGAAGGGGATGCTAAATGAAATCAAGTCTGAACACCCTCTAGAAGCAATTAAAAGAATGATTAATCTGAGGCTCTTGTGTTTTGAGCACATCAGAAGAAGACAAGATTCATGGGAAGTGATGGACTACTAGGGAACGTCAACAGCAGTAGGAAAACAGTAGGATCGAATAGGAGATGGTTTGATTCAATAAAGGAAACCATGGGCTGTGTTTGCAAGAGCGAACAATGGGTCCCGCTGGTGTTTATTAAGGTTTAGGGTGCCCCTAAGTCAGGAGCAACTTCACAGCATGTCACAATGCCACAGTGAACTTTTAGAAAGTTTTCCTGGGATTAGCAGCTATACTGGGAGCTCACCCATCCTGCCAGACATCCATTCCTTGTTTGCTATCCAGCTTGAAAAAAGGAAGGAAGAATTCCTTTGCCAAGTGTAGCTTCAACTTTGCCACTTGGTCAAGAGAAATCGGCATCTTTGTTTATAGAAAGCCATTCTGTATTTCCAAGCTCCGTCATGACAAGAATGTCTATCTAAAACATAGGTTACACATCAAGGCAATTATTTCAGAACAATCCATGGTTTCTCAGGAACCATGCGGTCAAAGGCTTCGCTGCAGTCTCTAAACATATGACGGATAGTCTTCTGACATTTGCAGGTGTGCTCCAATCGCTAGTACATATTTGCAGTTTGATCCCTCGTGCCTCATCCGTTTTGGGCTCTAGCTTCAACATCAGACCTTTATCATACTACAAATGGTAAAGGTCCTTGTTGCATTACGTTGAGCATCATTTTCCGCTGTGGGCTAAACCACAGAAGCCTGTGCTGCAGGGTCAGAAGACCAAGCAGTCGTAAGATCGAATCCACGCGACGGAGTGAGAGCCCGTCGCTTGTCCCAGCTCCCGCCAACCTAGCAGTTCGAAAGCATGCAAATGCGAGTAGATAAATAGGTACCATCTCGGTGGGAAGGTAAACAGCGTTCCGTGTCTAAATCACACTGGCCATGTGACCATGGAAAGATTCTGACATTTGCAGGTGTGCTCCAATCGCCAGTACTATATATTTGCAGTTTGATCCCTCGTGCCTCATCCGTTTTGGACTCTAGCTTCAACATCAGACCTTTATCATACTACAAATGGTAAAGGTCCTTGTTGCATTACGTTGAGCATCATTTTCCTTGTCCTTTAGTTACTGCAGTTTAGACATCTTCTTAGATAAATAGGTACCATCTCGGTGGGAAGGTAAACAGCGTTCCGTGTCTAAATCACACTGGCCATGTGACCATGGAAAGATTGGCTTCGGACAAACGCTGGCTCTATGGCTTGAAGAGCGGGATGAGCGCCGCCCCCTAGAGTCGGACACGACTGGACAAAAATTGTCAAGGGGAACCTTTACCTTTACCTTTACCTTAGTTACTGCAGTTTAGACATCTTCATTCTGGGGGACTGGAATGTATATGGAATGTTTCCAGCCTATGGCTCATTGTTTATTTACCTTATTTCTTTGGATACTCCAGTTAGGATTTTGCTACTCTCAGTTTTATTGGTTAGCAATAGGTTTATCTGTACAATGTAACTGTAATCTTTCCGTATCCCTATTTGAGGCTTAAATTCTCTTTGATTTCTTGACAGAGTTTGGAAATCCAGGAAATATCGAAGAAGTTAAAAGAAAAGACGAAAAAAAGAAAAGAAAAGAAAAATAATAATTAGGATTGATCTAAAGCTGAAAACATTCCTCGTGTGAAAAACATAGAACTTAAGGAAGCTATTTTTGTGGGACTACAACTTGGGAACCATTGTTCAGAAAAATCACATTTCTTCATGAAGTGGACTAATGAAACCCTCCGTATTCGGATCATCGAAATTTATCTTCCTGATTTAAGGTGTACGGCACTGTTAATTTGTTTCTTTCTTTTAAAAGATGCAACAGCCAGCTTTTCTGGATTACAAATCACATCTTCAAAGAGAAAGGCTGACCTATATCAGTAATGAAGTAGACTATAATCCACTAAAAGCTAAGATTGAAATACATTTCCTAGTCTAAGTTTCCACAGAAGAGATAGGCAGGAACGTGGAAAAGGGTGGTTTGTTGTGGTTCATGGTCTGTGGTTACCCATGACCTATGACCCCTTGACCCACGAACTGGCATGAACCAACTGGGAAACCGAACCAGTTGATGTTTCAGTTTTCGGTGCATTCCTGTGAGGACCAAGAAGTTACAAGAACAAGAAAGTAGCTCCTGTTGGGTTTCTTTGTCTCCAGGGAAATACATCCTTCCATATCTGGTGGATATACACCTTTGGAAACAGTGATAATAACAGCGCCTCAAGTCCTGTGCTCAGTGATTGTGGATACCAGGTATGAAAAGGACTTTAAAAGTTAGTGTATTAAACTAACACTAAGATACGTTGTTATATTATTTTAATACGTCACGCCAGAGAAACAGCATTGCTCGTGTTGAAACA